CGCCAATTCCTTCAATATTCTCGGATGAAGATTGTCCGGTCCTCCTGACTTAGCCCCATCAAGGCGTTCGAGTTTTGTTTCTACCTCGGAAACGGTAATCCCCCATTCTGTTTGCCCCTCTGTCACGGTGCTAGTATCCCTAATATCTTCATTGGCCTCATTAAACACCGATGCAAAATATTCGTTGAGATATTGCGCCATGCTTAGGTTATCTTTAATCTCCTCTCCGGCTATAGTCTTCAGCGGTCCTACTTCTTCCTTCTTTGCTTTCTTCCATATAAATAGATGTAACCTACTCTGGAATTTCACTTGACACTTTCATTGTCATGTATTCTATCTCTCTGTGATGTGGGTTTCTATCTTTCCTGAAGGCTGTTTGGTCACCCAATTGGATATTAGTTCAGTTTGATAGGATGTAGCTCAGATTTATTGGAGAATTTAAGACAAATGACCATTTGCTAAAGTCATCATTTCTCAGCTCATCATTTCTTCAACTTTGCGTTTTCCCCATCCCTCCATGATGACATGGAAAAAGTTCAAGTGCAGTTCTGTCAACAGGAGAGAACTCTCCAATTTACTCGACATACTAACAAAGAAACAGCAGTAATTTAAAATCTCAACTCGGAAATGGTGAACAACAGCAGAATCCCAACTAACTGAAGGAAGTGCATATGATCACAGTGTAGTTCAGTTGTTGAAGTCAATCTTGTCACAGATGATGTGGGGAGAGAATTCCATGGTAAGTGATTTTGAACTAGGCAAAATACCCATGTATTTGGTTCCCAAAGCATTTGTAACCCAGGCTCCACAGAAGATCTCTCCTAGCTAATCCTATGCTATGGGATGCAGACGTTGAAGAAATAGAAGTGGAAGTTTTGTTGAATTTTTCCTTTGTAGGTGCTAAAAATGCGTATAAAATGAAATCAGTGTTGGAAATCTAATAGCTGCAGAAAAATAGCTATTTTTGAATAGAAACTCCAGCTCTGATAACTAACAGAGATTCTGATCCAGGCCTGTATCCAGTCCCTTGCCTGGACCTGTGCCACCAAATTAAAAAAAAACTGGGCATGTTTCAGGAAGCCATTCCTCACTAACACTGCTGAGATTTTGAGTGGTTTTGTAAAGGATTCTACTTCAGAGAAGTGTAAATTTACCCTAACTAAGGCCAAGGATTTGGAAAGAACTGGGGTTGAAAGAGTCCACATCCAGTTCTTGGTTTCCATCCCAGTAAAGAAAGCTATGGTAACCAATCACCCAAGGAAAATTGTTTGTACAACTCCACTTACTAGTGCAGTGTCACTGATTACAGTTCCAAAGGATACCAGGGTTAGACTGAGAACAATCATCCTTCACCGTTTGGATCCAAAGAGAGAGTGCTTCATAGGACATTCCTTCCCGGTGGATCCCAAACTAGCTGCTTGATTGGGTAACAAGGACTTTCAGGCTGTAGAAATGATGACAATCAATGAGGCAACAAATGTATCAGGCTCCAATTTCAGACTTCCAGATACTCACATGTTGAGCCCTGATTCTATGGTTTTGTGTCTGAGGCTATGGCTACACAATAAAGCTGATGTTGGCGCAGCTGCACCAATGTAGCTGCGCTGATGTAGTACTGCTATTACTGACGCGCTCAGCCAATGGGAGAGATCTCTCCCATCGGACTTTATTAGTCCAGCCCCCACAAGCGGCGGTGGCTATGTTGGCAGGAGGAGCTCTCCTGCTCATGTAGCACTATCTACACAGGGGGCTAGGGCTGTGTAACTACGTTGCTCAGCAGTGTGGATTTTTCACACCCCTGAGCAATATAGTTATACGATAAATGTCTTTAGTGTAGACCAGATAGTTTTCTCTTGTGTTGTATGCATTTACATCACTTCTCCTCTACCTCCTTCTACTTTGAAAGATTAAAAAGTGTGAAAAGAGAGGTATTTTTCCTCGTGATGCAAACACTCCCACATAGGAAATCCCTTGCACTAACACACATGGCAGAAGAACCAGAGATTTATGAACTCACAGAAGTGGCTGGGACCTACGTTGGGACAAACCACAACTTGAGCCAAGGTTCAGTTGTTGGCAATGGGGATAAAAGAAAATTAACATATATGACAAGAATTTGTGATCTTTGAATATGTTGTTATCAATGAAAATGAAATTATAGGTGAAGTTATTGGTTAAAGAGTAAGAGACTAATTGTGTGATAATCTGAATTATTTTGGAAAACTGAAAGTTGTCTTGGTTTTTATTTTGTTAGTCGTACAGGAAATGATGGCTAATCTTGAAAAGTTACTTTGCTTTAATTTACCCCCTGTTGTGTAAGGAGTTCTGGTAGAAAACCTCACTCCAATGGTTGGGGTGGAAGAATATTTGTGAGAGAGAGTGTATAAGAGAATATTGGTCCAGTATAGATTTTAAAATTTTTGTATTTCAAATAGAACTTACTTTGCTTAGCTTCAAAATCAATTTCTATGAAAAGGAAAACTACTCAAGGAGACAAGTGTATGACCCTGACAGTGGGTAAAAAGTTACTGACTTCCCCACTTCTCTAATTTGCAAAGGAAAGGCATGACATCTGTCATAGGATGTGTCCAGCTTGTAGGAAAGCTGCCATCGTCAACCATCAATATCAAGGAAAAGGCTGAAGTCCATTGCCTTTCAGGTCAATAAGCCATCTAAAGGCTGGTCTACACTGAAAAGCTATGTTGACAAAGCTACATCTCTCGGTTGTGTGAAAAATCCGCTCCACTGAGAGAAGTAGTTAATGTGACCTGAGCCCCAGTATAGACAGTGTTAGGTTGTCAGAAGAATACTTCCAGTATTTGATGT